AAGAAACGAAACCACCTCTCAGCGACGGACTCAAACGGACTGTATCGTCATCGGTTACCACTGGCGAGGATCCATTCAAGGCTGCCGCTCCTACTAGTCAACACCAGTGGACACAGACTACGCTTTACTACGAGCCAGATTCTCTTTACGTCTGGTAAATGACCACAGAAAAGTTACCGGAAACGGATGTCCACCAAATTATGTCAGCGATAATCGCAAATCGGCCTTCGAAGAAGATCTCTCTAATTGTCCTTCATCTCAACCTTCGGTCGAAGGACTCAGCAAACAGTGAATGGTAAGCACGAAAAAATATAAAACAATGTATCTCCGTAACCTCGGTTGCCCTGTCGGACGCCCGTAAAGCGATTCCCTCGGATTCAAAATACGACAAAACGCTGCGGTTATCGGTAATGGTCGCAATCCTTTTCGTCTATAGAGGATTACGGGTTCAAGGAAAGTAGGCGTGAGGCAATTAAGGAATCCGATGACACTGATTCACGATCACCGTCCAGATCGATGTGCAGAACATTTTAAGGCAGAGTTAAGTTGGCCCTCATCGACACAAAACGTCCTTATACCCGCCAGTCCTCCATGTTAAAAGCCATAAAGTATCCGACCCTGATGTGGTGTTCCCATCGGTTTATAAGACTGAAGGTTCAGCCTTCGTTTCCAGGTTACCGAAATTCCTGGGCTGTGTGTGGGAGAACGAACAGCTTCAAACTGAATGATCTAAATCGGTGACCATATCGATCTACAAGAAAGGCGAACGGCCCTCTTGTGAAAACCACAAAGAAATTAGTTTAATCAACATTGCTTCTAAAGTTCTCGCCGAAATCATAATTTATCGATTGTCTGCCGCACGTGGAGAGTGCACGCGTGAGAATCAGGCTGGTTTTAGACCTGGTCGAGGTTGTATCGACCACAGCTTCACTCTTCGACAAACTCTGGAGCACCGACATTCTTTTCGTAGACCCACCATCTCTATCTTCCTGGATCTGATAGCGACTTACGACTCAGTCGTCCGTTCTTAACTCTGGAGCTGCCTTTCTCTGGAGGGTTTGACCCAGAAGCTTACAGGTGTTGACCAAACTCGAGCAACATCACCCTCATTTTGAAAATCCATTTCAGCTTGCAATGGCACACTTATATATAGATGGTTATGAGTACAGTGTATTTATTCCTGACTTTATCACCAACATCTATGTTCATTAGTTCAGTTCTATCACCTACTCGGTGGTTCACATGCAATCCCATCTAACCAGACTGGCAATGAAGAACATCTACTCCAACTTGGCGCAGGCAGCGAATTATTCCTATGAAGCACAAACTTCTCATATAAGAAAAAAACAACTTACATGGCAACCGCCAACTACTTAAACTACTTAAACTTGTTTTAGATTTAATTTTGTAAACAGCCCTCATGCGAGCATTGCGGCATCGCTTTTCTACCATGCGGTAGAATTTCTGGTCTAGAGTATGCAGATGATAATGTACTACTAAGTGAAGATCCAGGTAAGTTGCAAGCTTTTCCGGATAGTTTGGGAGTTAGCGTATCTACGTTTGGTCTGCGCTTTGCACCATCAAATTGTAAAATGTTACTATAAGACTGAGTTGGTCCAGGCGCCAACTGTGGAACTAGTAGAAGTAGAAAAATTTTGTTGTTTGGGCAGCTAAAGGATATCTGGCGGACGCGTCACAGATGAAGTGTCGGCGAGCATACAAAAGGCTCGGTTGGCATTTGAAAACCTGAAACATCTGTGGGGCCGTCGTAACATCCGGCTGTCTGTGAATGGTCGAGTATATGCCACAGCAGTTCGGCCAGTTCTGCTTACGGTGCAGAGATTTGGCCATGAAGAAAACAGGATAAAGATAGACGGTCGGTGTTCGAACACCGCTGTAGCACTGCACGAGTCTGGTGGGGAAACCGGACAAGCAATGAAGAGATTAGACGCAGAGTTTTAAGTAATCGCGGTTATCCACTGGAGTAAGTGGTCGACTTCTGTAGACTCCGCTGGGTGGAACGTATCACCACATTAGATTTCCACGGTGGACCCTAATGCCGAGGCAGGTAGTGGGTAAAAAACCAAGAGTGGTCAACGCAAGACCTGTCATGAGGGTATGAAAACCCTAACCAGGAATCTGGGTCATTTGGGTGGTTAGAGACATTGAGTGATATAGCTGGATGTCGCCAACAAAGGGCGATCGTGCACCTAGTTATTACTCTTGCAGCCGCAGTCTATATGAAGTCTCCAACTTCTCTTTAACTCCGCGCTTAACATTCGAATCTACCCTCTGCTCGTGGCACATGAAAATGCATGGTTAATGGTTGTAAAAACTGAAACTGTCTTATTTCAGCAATGTTAATTTTTAAAACTATTTCAGCTTTTTATGTAACTTTCGAAGTCCTACTTACTCTATAGTAGGGTTAACTGTTTTTCATCACATTAAACATGGGAAAGTGAGGTGAACACAAAATGGACTTCAGGAGGGGGAGGTAAAAACGAAGAAAGTATAGGGTCTATAAAATCCTATGTACACACGTCAAAAGGGTCAAATCTTAGAGCACATGATCATGGGGACCCCGAAACAGAGGACAGAAGACAGTGTCTGGCCAACCGTCTGTACAGAGCTATTGGAGAATCGTATATTTACGATGACGCCAACTTACGGAGTTGCACAAATTCGCCGGTGTAATTTTCTCAGACAGTGCCGCGTGAGTTTGAGACGCGGAGTTCATCGATCGATCCTCATTGGGCGAGTGAAGTTGACGGTTCCAGTTGAGCTGTGAACCGAACAGATAGGCACCCAAAGAACCGCAACAGATAAATCCACGGGTCGCACCAGCTGTGAATCCGATTCCACGAGCCAAATAGCACTGGCATGACAGTAACGGGTCGCAATGACACGTTGTCACCATCGTATCGGATCCGGGTCGTAACGAAGCCAAATGATTCAAGAAACGTCGCCGGGGTTTGGACAAAGAATGAGCATTATTGAGCAGTAATGCCAAACCGATCGGTTTCAGCGAAGACAAATAGTGCACCCACCGGGGTTTTTCAAATTGAGGTAAATGTGGCCAGAGTGCATCCATCCGCAGATTGAGTATCACAGGGACGATCGAACCTTTGCGTCCATCCGCCACCAGGTCGTGTTCATCCAGCTCACTGCACATACTTTCCAGGCGGCCCCGATGCGAATGCATAGGAGATGTTTGGGGTACATCTGTCTTTGAAGCCGTGTACGATACCTTTTTAGAGTGAGAATAATGACCGATAACTATCTTCGGAACGAAACATGAATTTCATATATAGAATAGAGAAAGGAAAATAACCGTTATCAGTCTAATTCGAAAGAACCTTGATCCGGAATGTTATTTAACATCCAATACTTTTCATCTTTCGAGAACAAACCAAAAAACCTCAATGAGACATCTCGGACAATTCCCTACGTAATATTCAGCAAGATGAAAATACAACCTCGATTGCTTTGCATGAGATATGATACCCTGTGCATCTGGTTGGCTTGTCATGTTCAGTTCAGTTCAGTTCGTACAACCATTAACCATGCACTATCGCGCGCCGGTTTTGGTTGCTATCTTTCGGCTACCCTTTTGGATGAACATTAGGAGAACGAAAGGGAAGGTTGAAAGTAGGATCGAAGATCAAATTGAAAAGTTCAGTGGATTAATGATACAGAGAAATTGAGATGTACGATGTTTACGACACCCAGGGATATCACTCACTGTCTATAACCATCGAGTACGAACATCCCGAGGTCTCCATCCCGGGTGGCTTAACGAGACCTATGTGACCCAGACTGCTGTTTAGGGTTTTCATATCCTCATGCAAGGTCTTAGTAGGACCACCTTTGACATTCTTCCACCCAATTCCTGCTTCGCCAAAAATCGCTCGCAGTGGCAACCTATCCCGGGACATGCGTAGCACATGTCCCAACCAGCGTAATCTATGACCATCGACCACTTGCTCCAGTGGACGACCGCGACTGCCTAAAACTCTACGCCTAACCTCAGCATTGCTAGTCCGGTTACCCCACCAGA